CTAAATAGAAGAATTCAATCCCCGACTGATTGATATCAATTAAAAAATTCAATTATTAATTAAAATTCAATTTACATTAAAATTTTCCGGATTCACGATATTTTTTTAAATTCCTTGAGGCCTGCCTTAAAACCAGTGATGACTGATTATTCAAAACATTTTCATTTCATTTATATATTGCATAATAAATCCGTATAAAATGATAAATGATGAACAATAGAAGAGAATATTTTTTTTTAATCTTTCGAAATTGAGGGAAAAAATCTAAATTAATTGACAGCTGTCAAGTAAATTCATAAAAAGTAAATGCAGAGGAATACTTTTCCGGGAATATTAACGGATGAAAATTGATAGGTAAAAATTAATACTAGATTTAGAAGCAATAATTTTTGTTATTGATGATTCTCGAATTGAAAGTTGCCTCCAAATATGGAGAGAGAGAGAGTACAATGCGGAATGGAGTGGGTGTGCAAGTGCATCTGTCAAAAAAGAAACGAGTTTCGCAAGTGAAGTGCCACCAAGTGATTATAAACCATATGTTTTATGAGTTATTGAGTGACTAATTGTGAAGAATCTTCAGAGCGAAGTGGTAATTAGCCAATCCACGTCGATACATGGATTACATAGGACACAAATCACCTGAGGATAATATTGTAAGGTTATTCCCATATTTGCACGTATTATCCACCACGTATCGCATTTTTTTTTTCCTCTCTTTTTATTGACCCTTTTATCGGAATTTTTGCACTTATTTTAGAGGTGGAGTGCGGATGATAAAAGATTGCGGAAGCTTTTCTGAAAATTATTTTACCACAATGCATTTTTCTATTCCTGATACCCAGGAGTTTGTTGATAACAGTGGAAACTCATATTTGGTAGGTAACAATTATTATCATTACCGTTTTTTGTTTTATCCTTCTGTGAGAAACAATTCAACTGCAAATTACGTCAATAATTCGTTGAAATAATTCATTACAACAATTCTGCAATAACTGCATTTTTTTTTATGCCAGTTTTCAGCCGATATCTCGTAATCAAAAAAACATAGCGATTTTTGGCATGAATCTTTTTTATAGAAAAAAATGAGAGCTACAAAAAAGGTGATTATAAAAAAAACGCTATCTTTCTTCGATTTAGGGATATTGGCTAGAAACTGATCATGAAAAGAATGCACTTATCCCAGTTCACCACTAATACTCGTGATTGATAATTAATTATCATTAATAGCCACTTAATTACCAATTAAATGATAAACAATGAATAAAGTGAATTGCTATTGATAAAAATAGTGAATGATAAATTCCAGGGTTACAACATCCACATAAACGGTCTCTTCCACTGCACAGTCCGTTACAAACAGCTGCTGCACCTCCACGAGCACCTGACAAAAGAAACTGTCCATCCACTCCCTCCTTTCCCCCCGAAGAAGTTGTTTCCCCTGACAACTACCCAACAAGAGGAGCGTCGCCAGTCCCTGGAGAAATACATCCAGACAATCGGTCAGAACTCCACCCTGAACACTTCACCCTTACTGACATCATTCCTCCTGCACGCCCAACAAGAGACATCCTCGAAGATATCAATAATCGAAAGCCTGGACATTTTCCTCCAGAACAACCTTCGAATATCGCTGAAGGTCTCCACCAACGAGAGCACCACCCGAGTCCTGAAGAAGCTCCTGAGACACCTGAACCTCCCAGAGCACCTAGACCAATTCTTCGCGCTATTCGCTGTGATCGAGGGCGAGAGAAATGCAAACATTTTGCGTCGTCTCCAAGACTTTGAATCACCAGTTCTCACCCTGGGTAACATAAATTTCCCAGCTGTGAAGCTGATGGTGGGTAGGAGCTACTGGGAGACTGATAATGATGTGAAATTAACAGAGAATTCAGTGTCCCTGGAGTTGCTGCACCAGCAGGCAGTGGCCGAGGTGAATCGTGGATGGATTCTCGTACCCTCAGCTCTTCAGGATCACCTGAGATCGCTGGAGGACAAGCGAGAGTACTTAGAGGCTATCAGAACCTGCAAGTATTACGGATTCACTCAATTTGCTCCCTGCACCTGCGATTATCCTCAACCTGATACCAGAGTCATTGTATCCATTGGGAGAAATGAATTGAATCTCCGGATGCTTCTTGATGATCGTGAACACGAGGCTGTCTTCAAGGTCACCAGGATGAGGTGCTGGAGGGTAACAACTCTGCATAATGGAATGGACAGGTCTGAGGGGAGTGATTACTCCTTGGAATTGTCATTCGAGTATCTCGTCGCCAGGAATCAGCTGCAGTGGATCACCATCGTCTCCGAGCAAGCCATTCTCATGTCTGTGTCACTTCAAGGAATGATTGATGAACTTCTCACGAAGGGGGATGAATCCAGGGAGCAGGAAATACCTGGGAAGAGGTGGAGTTATGTTCTCAGGGATGGCCACAGCAAAATTGTCATTGGTGAGGGTGAAGACGCCAGAAAACCCAGGGAGGAAGTCAAGAGAGCTAGGACCAGGGGAGAACACTGTGATATTACAGAGAATAATGCATTTCACATGATTGGGGATGAGGATCTGTGAAGTCCTTCGTTTTCTAGGGATTTAAAAAAAAATTCGCACAAATTATTATTTTTTTTTTTTTTGAGATTATTGATGTTCTTGGAGTCCCACGGAAATTATTTCTCCATTATCATGCGTTGAGAACTTAAATTGAGAATTGAAATGGTAACGTCAGTAATTAATTACTGTTTTAGTTATTTGGGGCAGTTAATTGAAATTTTGACTAAAAAATCATGATATTAATTTGGGGGAAAAGTCTGCAACGGAAATTCGTGGGGTCCCGCGTTTATTTTTCGTTTCGCGTCGTAAATTCTCGTGCCAAAAGTGTTGACATTGATTTCTCATTCTAAATTTTAACCGTCCACGCAATTCGTTGGAGTATTCCTCCAACGAATCAACGATTTCATCGAGCACATCAAATACGAGGAGTATCTATAATACGTCATATCCATTAATAAAATTGTTCAATGAAAATATTCTACTAAAAAATCACAGCATTTATCTAAAATAATGTTTAACAGAATTTAATACGTAAAAGGCTAGATACTTAATGATGAATTCTACCTGTTAGTCAATTACATCAATTCTCTCAGTAACTTTAATTATTTCAATTAACGTAATGAGAAAATAATGACACATATCCTGCCCTCGAGGCCACAGGGCCTAGAAAAAAATGCTCTCGATTTTAAAATGACATAAGATTTTTTCTGTATTCAATTAAAATGATTATAATGACATTTCGACGCAATTCAGTGCCAAAATGACAAATTGTTAATAAATATATGGGGATTAATGATAAAAAAAAGTGGAGAAATTCCTCAATCTCTAATATCTCAAGAAGTTCTTTATTTTAATATTCAAATGCTTTTTATGCTCAGGGTTGGTAAGAATCCACTCATTCATTTGTATAAAGACAAGGCCCCTTATGAAGATTGTGCATTTGCTTGTTCAATCAGTAATTATTATATATTTCAATGTATTTAATGCTCTTGTAAAAACCACTCGGCATAATTGTCTATTGTTCATTTAGAATTTATCGTTATTCAATTTCTGGCCTAGCGTTTGTTTATTTATTGTTCGTATCGAATTGAATATTGTTTATTTCCATTGGATCATTGGCTCAGCTAGTGGAGTATTGCCAACTCTGTACTTTAACTACTAATAATTTTTTAATTACAAAATCTTACAATTCTTAGTGCGTACAGTACAAGAATAATGACGAAAACATTTTTATGTCTCTGGAGGAACGAATTAATTGATATTAAATTGTTCATTTCTCGTTGGTTCGACTCATCTGCTCATTAATGCATTTTAACAATGAAAAATGAATTTATACGTTCGTAATACAAATAAATAAGTGATGTATTTTGTATAACACAAATGCGCAAATACATGATTCCTGACGTGAGATTAATAAATAGGTTTTTTTTTTAATGAAATAAAAAATTGGTGGGGTCGATCCTGTTAGTCCCGTTTCTAATTTATATCGTCTCACTGGTCTATTTATTTTTTTCTTTTTGTAAATTCAGATCATCTCTCAGTCTATATCAAAAATATGTTGTCATTCGTTCTGCACTACTCTTTGTTTATATTCTCGAATTTTGCACTGCGAAAAATATGGAAAAACCTGGATTTTGTTTCTTCAATATCCGGTTATTTATTTATTTATTCAGAGGACGATTGAAAATGCGGAGTAGTCAGTTGAATTCAGTAGCAAAGTCGTAAACTAGCATGAGTGATTTTTTTTCGAGTCCAGTTTTCAGCCAATATCTCGGAATCGAATGCACATAGCGAATTTTGTGCAATAACAATTTTTATAGAAAAGGATGAGAGCTACAAAAAAGGTATCAATGAAAATATCGTCATCTCTCTCCAATTCCGAGATATCGGCTAAAACCTGGCCCCGGTCAAAAATGACTTATCGTAATTTCGCAGTAGAATTGACAGAATTAAAATAGAATAATCTCTACTGAATTGGGGAATTTTGAGCTCGTTGTCAGGTTTCCCCATTCGACGTTAAAATATCAAACAAAAAACCGTGATTGCCCTGAAAAATCATAGCTCACTAAAAAAAAATTATTGAGTACAACACTCTACCGTAATTCACACTCGATCCAATTAAATTCCCTACAAAATCTATTCCCAAAACTCCAACTAAAAAATAGCCATCGATTAATTGTCCACCGATCAATGAAGCACATGCGTACTTAAAGGGAAGACTATTTTCTAATTAATCAATTAATTTTCACCAACTCCCAGTGAATTACTCTACCAACCAATTTACATTTCCAATAATCGATTAATAATCATTTAATGTAGCCAGTCGTGCCCTGGGAGAACCTAATACAATATCCACTCGAAATCAAACGAAAAGCAATTCATCTATTGCAATAACTCCCCATTAAAATAATTAATTAATCAAACTAAAATCATGAGCTCGAATGACACTTAATCGAGTGGACCCTCACGTCCCCTAAAACTATATATGACGCAGCAGAAGCAAAAAAAAAACGCAATGATTCACGTAAAATGGCGCGAAGAAGACTAGTCTGTTAGTAATAAAAAAAGATAAAAAAAAATCAGCCCATAATTAAACTCCCACTCGTCGCGTTACTCCCTAAACATTTTTCTCTCGTTCTATATTCACTGTATAACTCTATAAGAATAGTGTATTCAACAATAACTACATTCAATTAACATAAAAAAAAAGAGTTGAGTATAATTGTTGTCCTCTTCGTATTCTCTACAGTCCGTCAGTAATGGAAATGAGGAAACAGTAAGAAAACTTCTCGATTTATTGCAATTTTCAAAAGTCCGAAAAATTCTACCGAATATTTTATGAAATTCCAGAGCTGATTGCATTAAACAGATTTGAATAGAAATTAATTTGTATAAATTTTCCCGGTTTTGCTTGTTGTGTCAAAATAATTACAATTAATTACGATAATTAATGAGAAAGAATAAATTGACGATTTGAATTTGACAGCCCTCATTTGCATTACTAACATCGATCATGTAAAATCATTTACATTCTTGACGTGAGGCTATTGGCTAGTATCAGTGAATCCCCAGCTCGAATCCCCGGGATAACCGATGGGATATCCCCAGGAAGAAATTCGAAGTAGAAGCCCGGAGAGGAAGAATATTCATACGTAATTAAAGAATAATTACCCAGGTGATTCGAGTGAGGGAATCCATCGGAGTCGAAGACCTATCAATATTATACAACTGTACATTCCCATTTGTATCATTCGTTTTATCGTTTTATCACAAAAAAATACCACAGTGTTAGAAATTCTGCTGGCGTTTTCTCTTCGTATCCATTGCGTCGAGAATGGGTTGTCTCTTTGTCTGATACCTTCTGCGGAGTTCGTCAATCTCACGCTCCATCTCTGCATCGAGACTTGCCATCCGCTGTTGGAGTTCCTCATATGACAAGAACTTCAACTGGAAAATTCATTAAAGTCATTGAATTAATTGCCAATTAATCGCCAATAAATTGCCAATTCATTTGGATTTCAATCCGAAGGAATTCCACTGATAAAATTCAATCAAAATGATAAATAAATAATAATCCACCCAGTAGAAGATTAAAAACATCAACAATTAAAAAATATTCACTCACAAAATCGAAATCTCGTTCATTAAACGCATTCTGAAACTTGGATATGTTATTGTGCTGCTGTTCAGGCACAGGATGTGAGATCTGATTGAGTTGAAGCTGAAGATGGCTCTGAAACCTCTGAGCCTCAGTAGTTGGTATCTCAACCTTGTCAGCTTCATGAAGCACCTGTCCATTCCCCTTGACGATGTCAGGTGCCTCCTTCTTATCAAAATGATCAAGAAATAGAGGTCGATACTTCTTCCCAGACTCGACAGAGCCAGTGTTGTGCCTCTTCATAGTAGCCTCAGTATCAGTATCACTATTGATAACCATCGTCCCGAGATCAAGAATCCCAGAGACAAGTGTCCCAGTGTCTGGGAGATCGTGACTGGGTACCAGAGTTCCAGGATCCTCTGGCAGAGGTTTCATGGTGCCACTGCAGTCATCATCATCCGAGTCATCATTGGCCTGTCCCTTGATGGCAACATTATTGATAACGTGGGTGCGATGGGCACTTTGTTTCTCCCTGATGTCGTGTGCTTCAGCTATCATCATACTCAGGATATTCGGCTGCTTGGCTGCCCCAATGAACTCGTGATTCAGTAATTCAGTGGCTGTTGCACGTTCCTCGGGATTTTTCACGAGACAGCCACTCACAAAATCGATGAACTCAGGACTCCACTGGTCTGGCTCTCGAAAACTCGGTGGGGGTTTCGTCGGGATCATGAAGATTGCTCTCATTGGGTGAATGTCACCGTACGGTGGCTTACCCTCTGCCATCTCCAGGGCAGTTATTCCCAGGGACCAAATATCCGCTACGCAGTCGTAGCCGATTTCCTGGATCACCTCTGGAGCCATCCAGAAGGGTGTACCTATCACTGTATTTCTCTTTGCCATTGTGTCTGTTAATTGGCCTGCAACACCAAAATCCGCCAACTTGGCGTGTCCCTCGTTATTGAGCAAAATATTTCCAGCCTTTATGTCTCTGTGAATTTTACGCCTCAGGTGTAGGTACTCCAGGCCCTTGAGTGTGTCGCAGAGGATTGTGGCTATTTCATCCTCCTGGAGTGTTTTCTTTCTGAGTCTCATTATATCGCTGACAGAACCAGCACCACAGTACTCCATCACAATCCACAGATCTGTATTCTTGAAATAACTCCCGTAGTATTTAACTACGTAGGGGGAATCACACTGTTGCATTATCGATATTTCCTTGATTATCTCCTGGAGATCTGTGTCAACGGGCACTTGTTTGATGGCAAGCACTTGTCCACTCTCCTTGTGGAGGGCTTTATAGACCGATCCATAAGATCTGAAAAGTCAATTATTATTTTTTACACTTCAATCCATTCGAGCACTCGTGCAATTGAAATTACCCCTCTCCCAATTTGCAGATTATGTCGAAGACCTCCTCTGGTTGACGAGTCAAACTCTCCTCCGATAGTTTTTTTAATTCGCTGTGGAAGCCATTGAAGTTTAAATAAATGATAGTGATGAAAAATTGGGGAATTTTCATTCCACGAAATTGGCGCAGATCGATCATTTTTTAGTGATATCTCTGGATTGGGAGGAGATAGCAAAATTTTAGAAAAGATCTTTTTTGTAGAGACGACTGAGATCTGGGGCAATGGTTATTTATGGAATTTCGCTGGGGGTCGCGGATTCCGAGATATTCACCGAAAACTGATCAATAATCTAAGTTGACTCGAACTGTTTTGACTTCTCGGCACTGAATTAATTAATGGAATAGATTATGGATAGGTCTCGTTAATTTCCGATTAATTGTTCAATAAATTCTTGGGTTGATGGATGAAATTATCGTTTTCAGAGCGGAAATTCGTGTTAAACACTTCCATTATTAATTATTTGTTGATAATTTTGTAGCGATCAGATTTTTGACAGTTCTAAAAATAAAACTCTGCCCTAGACTTTTAAAAAACAAATATTCATTCTGGAGCAGCGAATTTTCTTCGATGATTTCAATGACTCTTTTAATATTTTCAACTGCAATTCGACAAGCAATGAAAATGGTATTTGTTGCTAAAAATAGGAATTGAATGTCAATGACTGCAGGGAAATTGAATTTCCATTCTCGTGTGATTTTTTATCGACTTTCTTCTAGTGGAAAATGCTGATAAAAAATCATTAATTCGAGAAAGATAAGACGATTGGGCGAGTGAATTTCTCAGAAGGTTAACAAAGACGATAAATCAGATGATTCGGCGGAGATGTGACCCTCGAAAAAAAATCCAATTTTCTCCCCCCAGTAAAAACAAAATCGAGCCCCAGAAATTAAATTGCAATAACGAGAGTACCTCTTAGAAGACATCTTTCCGTGTTATAATCACGCTGATACCCTGATTGATATTAAAAAAATAAATAAAAAAATAATACACAATTCCCTGTATTTACACGCCGACGTGGGGAAAATAATCACAAACTTTGCACTGTCACGTAAAAATTCCAATCACCAATTAAACCATAAATCAATGAGCTATTGACTTTTGTATCACATCATATCCTCGTGAAATTCTTGATAGATCATTTTTCGGATGGAAAAAAAAATTTGGATCTCAATGTAACCAAAAAACTGAAATATTGAAAACATCGACCATCGAGTCCATTGTAGATGGCATCTCGCGATTTTCTGTTTCATTTTTGTTCATCCATTCCACTTTCTATTGCGCACGCGCGGACACTTCTGGATGTTAAGATGAGTTCACAATCGGATTTTGCCACCAATTGGCGACGGGCGCCATAAAAATATTAATTAGTCAAAAGAGCGCGAAAAAAAATTGAAGGAAAATTAATAACAGAAATTATTTCAAACATCAGAAACGAAATGAAATGCAACTTTTAAAAAAACTAACTGCTATTCAAAAAATTATATTTCAAAAATTATCGGCACTGTATTCTCATACAACCATTCAAAAACCGCCAGAACTTTCGCCATGTTCGCGTCTCTCAAACATGTCTCGAACCGCCAGAACCCACCCCAAAAATCATTCTCCAAGAATATCAAACAAAAAGAGATTAAAAAACACGGAATCCCCCAAGCCCCCCCAAAACCGCCTGTCAAAATTCTCCTACACCTCCAAGACCCCCTCCCCCTCAAACATGTCTCAAACCGCGAGAACCCCCAAAACCGCCGAAAAAAACCGCAAACAAAAAAATCTCAAAACCCGCAAAATCCTCGTACTCCTCTAAAACCACCCTCCAAATTTCTCAAAAAATTCGTTCTTACCCCGAAACCGCTGAAACCGCCAAAAACCGGTGACCGCCCCCTCCCCCCCACAGAAGCAACAGGCCATGAACATGCCTGCACCTTAGGTGTTCCACAAAGGAAAAAGAGAGAGGATAAATAAAGCGAGAAAGAGAGTCACGGAGTTGTTGTTCCTGTCGGTGGTGACGGTCGACTCCGGGGGGGGCAGGCGGCGGTCGAGCGCCGTGGCGGTCGGTGAGGGAGGGGGGCGCCAGCGGGTAGCGGTAGAGTGGGGTGGGCGAATAGGAAGGTGCGGTGAAGAGAGAAGGGAGGGGGTTAAAAACGGTGCGGACAACTACGGGCAAGAGCCGAAGAGCGGTGCGGTGTTAAAGCCGACTTGCCGATCGCCGCCAGTGGCTTGCTCGGTGCCTTGGGTGCCTGCGTGGTATTAGGGAGAGCCCACTCCGGCAACCAGTCCCCTTGTCTCGTCTTTCTCGTCAGTTCTCCGTCCAGTTCCAAGTGTTTTTTACCATCGGGGGAAAATAAAAAAAAAATCACCAAAACCCAGAGGAACCGCCAAAGTTCAACTGAACAATAATTTGTATGTGAGAAAACGGAATAAAGTGGCAGTGGAGGCTCTTCCCCGGGCGTTCTCCGGAGTTCTACGAAGTGAATATATATATATATTTTTCTTTTCCACGTCCGGCCTGCGGCCTCTCGCCAGTACGCACCCAAGACTCCGAATGTCCACGGAGACGGTGTAATAAACAAATTTGTCGGGGTTATTTATTCGGTACGGAAATAATTCGTTGAATTATCGGGGTAGAGGAGTGGTTCTTGAAAGTGGTTGACACGTATAATAAAATTCAAGTGGGGGGAGAGAAAATAGACCCCCCCATCGGGATATCCCCACCTCGTTTCAAGTGGTATCATAACTACGAGGTGTGCTGCAAGACCCGGAAAACCGTACACAATCTACTGGTGGGGGATAAATACCAGTTGAGGGATTAAACATTGGTGGATAAATTTCGACGACCTGCGGTACAGCCTGACAAGCAATCCCACCGATTTCAATTCCACCTAGTTCGATCATTTAATAAATCAGTGGAATAGGTGATTGAAAAAATTCTCGCATCTCAATTAAATTCCCAAATAGTTCAGGGTGATTTTTTGAATCTCAGTGAAGAAAAAAAACCGATGGGATTTAAAAAAAAAGGTGGAACCGATTGAGTTACAGGGACTATCGTGGGGATATAGTGACGCGACTGGGCAGCACCAGTTGGAGAGAATAAAATAAAAAAAAATAAAATAAGAGAAAAAAAAAAGCTGGTGAGTGAGACAGTGAAGACCAGTCTGCACGAAGAACACTGGATGCTAAGCCCTCGGGTGTAACTGAGAGGGATTTATTTATTGTTGAAGGTGGGAGTGGGTAAGCGTCCGGGGAACGTATATTTACGTACACGGGATACAATACGAGTGAGTGTACAGTAAGTACGATAGGAAAACGTGAATTACCACAATATATCAGACTCGCGGGTGATATTATTGAACTAAAAATATGGACTAAAATAATTTTCGCACTTGGTTGGAAAAATAAATTTTTCTCGATTAATAAATAATCAGTGATAAAATGGCGCTCAATACCGATGTTGATCAGCTGACCAAGGGTAATTTGGTAGTGAGGATAGATCAGAACTCCGAGTCCGATCTTCAGGCCCTATTTGACAGTGTTTTGAAGCCTGATTCAAAGAGACCACTTCAGGTACCATTGAGGATGCGCAATCTGCCGGATTCATTCTTCAATCCACCGTCAACCGGTAGTAAAAGCCCATCGATATCTCACTCGAGGGAAAATTCAGCTGACTCGGCATTTGGAACAATTATAAGTAATGGACCTGGAAGTAATAGTAATGGGGGTAATACCAATGGTAATGGTAATCAGACTAGTGTACCTGCTGGACTCACTGTTGCACATCCAAGGGCACACAGCAGTCCTGCATCATTGCAGCAGACTTATGCTGCTGCACAGGCAACGCAGCATGCACCACAGCCACATGCCAGGCATGTACATCATCAGAAGCAGAGGAGTTATGATGTTATCAGCACTGTTGATGATTTGGGACCACTGCCTCATGGCTGGGAACAGGCACGCACACCTGAGGGACAGGTTTATTTTCTCAAGTTGGTGTCATTTTTTTTAAAATCATATTATATTATTTGCTTCGGCATTTATTTATTGCTCTGCCTGGACTCGAGTCGAGGATTTGCAACGGACTATCGCGATATCATCCGTTCAGTCATTTGTATTACTGAAATATTTTGAAATTTTTGTTTACTCCTGGCGATTCGAACTTGTCGCGAAGAATCTAAATAAATATTTGGGAAACGCGAAATCTGAGGGACAGGTTTATTTTCTGGAGTTGGTGACTCCTTGCTTATCAGGAGTATGTCGGGATTTTTCGGAGTTGTCGGGGTTCGGATAGTTATTAAATGATTTTTAATGAGTTTCGAGGGATAATTGGGGAATTTGTGAGAGATCGAAGGATTTTTATGATCTCTATGATCTTTATGATCGAGAGATGTGTCAGTGGAGAACTCGTCAATTATAAAAAAGAGGAATTATCAATATAAAAAAAATCTGAAAAAAAGCCCTCTGATTTGCACAAGACGTGTCCCTTTGATTAATTATATAGTAACAATATAATAATCATATAATCATATATAACAATATATTATATATTTTCAAATTTAATTCATCCAATTTTTTGACATATTCACATTTTGCATTTAGATACAAAAATTCAGAAAACAATATAATTTTGAAGAGTGTAGCATCAGGTGTGACGTAGTTGTCGAGACACCATCTTCTCGTGGTGCCCCTTCCACCTGACTACCGACGCGGTTTTCCCCCCCTCCTGTGCCCCCCCTCACACACACACTGATAAGGATTTATCATAGGTGGGGAGTCGGGGCTTCTTGGTTATCCTCTTTCCCTACGGTTTCGTCGGAGATTCACCTGTGTGTGGCGCCCCACGCCAGGTTATTCCCACGTGTCACCTGTCGTGGGAAACCCACGGTGAGTTCCTTCCCCTCTCGTTGCTACAACCCCAAATCCATTGTACATTATGTACACCCACCTGATGCCTCTCTTCCTTTTTTAACATGGTTTGCTGCTTCTTGAGGTGAACCCCGGGAGATGTGATTCAACGGGAAACACGACACCCACGGGAACTTCCGATCTTTTGGAAATTTTATTGTCGTTTGATTTTATTCAAATTCCTTCGCGTTTATGGGACTGAGAAAATTACCACTTGGGCCCGCAAATTTAATTGTTAAAAAAATTTTTTATTGCAGTGAACATGATTTTACGATTTTTTTTTCGTTGTCGACTCGTGGAGTGGGAACGTCTCATGAGTTTTTCGGGATATCTTGGAAACTAAGGGAGATAACGGGATTTTCGGTCATATCTTTTTTGGAGATTTTTAAAAACTCTGGATAAATGATCTTCTCAAAAATTTTGATATCTCCTTTCGTTTCAGAGATATTTACGATCGATCTTTTGAAAATTTCCACTTTTGGAAAATTTTTACTGCAGATTTTTTTTCAATGGAAAATTCACGTTCAGATTAAATAATTCTTTATTGTTTTTAAAAATCCCAGAATTCTCAATGTTATAACGAAAATTGAATTCGGATTTTACTAATTTTTTTTCGGTTGAATGATTAAATAAATAATGGAGATAGAGAATTAAAAGGGGAAAACAAATTTGTGAAGGGAAATGTTAAACTTTTCTGAAAGACTTCAGCCTTGAAAAGACCCACCACGTCACTGACGGAGAGCAAATAAGATAAAAAAAAGATAGATATTGTACAGGTTAACTCCCGTCTACCATTTAATTTTTTTATTTTATTTTTTCTAACTCGAAGGAGAGCACTGGAAGCTGTTTCTCTCTCGCTGCATCTCCTTCGAATCTCGTGTCCTTTTTCCTTCCATCAGGGCCCCAAGGACTCTCTACCTGGAACTCAGACCGTGAGAGTTGTCTCGACCGATTTTTTTTCCTTCTTTCTATTATTCGGTGGGAGTTTTCGATTTTTTTCTCCCTTTCTTCCCTTTTTTTTCCAGTGCCTCACCCCCACAGCCCACGATCCCAAGAATTTTCCGAATTTTCGGTTCTCAGAAAAATCGGTAACCGTTCAACGATGGGAAATCTGTCGGACTCATTTTCCACGGGAATTAATTTCTCCCTCTCCCGTCCATTTGTTGATTATTTATCAATGGAATCTTCCAATCGGAAATAATGACACAAAAATCGTTACAAATTTATAATAATCACCACTAACAGAATCATAAAAAATATCCCTTTTAAAAAAAAGCATGTAACGTTTTTTGTCAGCTTTTTTTGGCGCTATGCATATCAAAATATATCTATATAATATGATATATATTATATATATAATATATATAATATAATATATAAATTTAATATGATTTATTAAAAAAAATTAAATTAAATTTTAAATTATTTTTTATATGAATTTTTACATTTTTCTTTCTTTTTTTTGAAATTCTATATATGTATATATTATATTGGAAATAACCGTAAATATATATATATACATATATATTCCAATGATAACACCCCATACCTGGACGATTTGGCGCGCATAGCGCCAAAAAAAGCACATAAAACCATAACTAGAACAATTGCTCTAGAATTTTCTTATAAATTTCTTATAAATTATTATTTCCAATCGGAAATAATGACACAAAAATCGTTACAAATTTATAATAATCACCACTAACAGAATCATAAAAAATATATCTTCAAATAACTACTCAAATACTAAATTAAAATAATTCAATTAAATTATTTATAATTGTTTTTAATTTGTTGATAAAGAGTTAGACGATTGTTCTTTCTTGAAATTAATTTTTCTGTGCGCAGGGCGGGTAAATTAACGCAAATTATGAATTCTCGGTAATGTTTGATGGAAATTAATGAGGTGAGGAGGGAGGGAGGGAGGGGGGTGGGGGCTAGTTAAAAAATACAAGTCGTAGGGGAATTGCCAATCGACTCTCAGTCTTAACAGTTATGCTAGACGATAAGCTAGAGAAGTGGACCATGAATATTCAGTCCCCATGTTAATCACTCACATTACCGGTCGTTTCCAGTTTTATTTTTACGTCGTTTTTACAACGGAAAATTGGAAATCCATTTATCTTGTGTTGAAATGCCGGTTTTCCGTACTACATCTGAGATGAGTTTATCACACCCTAGATGAAAAAAAAAATCCCCTTACTACATTCCGTTTTTTTATTGCAGTACCGATTTTTATCCGATCGCAAATCAATTGGAGAAATTGAATTATTGTAGTTATTGCCATTTTTCTGTGTGGAAATGAACAATTGGATAATTGTAATTGTTATTAATTAATGATGTGATTGAATATTATGGGGATTTTGATCTTTTGGGGATATTTGGGGATTAATTATTCTCAGGACTAGTATTAAATTCGATCGACGAGAAAAAAATCGGGGAATTGCCATGGAAATTATCGTAATTGCAAAATTGAACTGCTATTTCGATTTTCTTTGTGTTCCGTGGAATTCTCTGTTAACAATTGACTCAACGTCGATTTTTCGTTAAATTGTTCACAAATCGAATTGCGCAGGAAAAAATGGCTGATAATGATTGATAAGAAATCGGTGTGAAATGACGTGCGCATTATAAAACCGAATCTTTACGTCTAATCGTAGAGATTAGGATGTTTTAATTATATGGTAATGCCTGGAAATACCTGGAAATACCTAGATGTTGATGAACAGTTATAAAAATTCCGCGATGAAGATGCGATAAATTAAATTCCTCTCAACAACAAAAAAAAAATCATAATGTAAAAATTTGTTTTCGTGAATATGCAAATGCAGGAGTAATTGCAATTACTTAACTGGTTTGTCTAGGTATTAAATAACCGACAAAATGGCTCCTCCGAGTTGTGACGGTAAAAAATTCCATGGGGCACGCGATAAATCAAACAATGCATTTGTTAATTGCGCAATTGCACCGACAACTGAATAAATGCCCGTAATTAAATAAATGATAACAACAGATAATAAATTCGGGATTTAATCGGAGAATATTTAAATGTTGGAGTAAAAATAAATATAATTGGAATTGATTATTCATAATTCATAATCCATAATTCATAATTGAATTAATAAACTTGGAGTAAAAAATAAATAATAAAAAAAAATTGAAATATAAAATCCGTGGAGGTGGCGTCGTTGGACGACCGGAGGCTCGTCGATTTGTCCGGGGCCGCGTCCCGACGTCTGGCCGACGTCCAAGAAACGTCAGATTTTGCGAGTAAATACAGAATTTGCCGACTAGGAGTCACAGATTTTAGGGCTTCCTCACAACATAATTATTCATTGCAAACGTACACATCATGAGCTAGTACAAAACATTTTTATTTCACGCGCATTTCATCGACATTGACCTCAATTTCCGGGCAATTTTTATAACTCTTCATCAAATTAAATAATTGAGAAATAAAAAAAAGAATAAATCAATATAATATGATAATGATAAATAAGTAATAAAATAATAAATATATTAAATATATATTTGGAGTGAATTTCTTCAATTTTTCAATTTAATATTTTACATTTTATGGAAACCGGAGAGTCATTCATTTTTATTATTAATATTTTTCCCATTATTTAATTTAACTCCCCGTGATAGTGCAATTGTTATAATAATTATTACAGTTAAACAATTGAAATAAATGTAGAATTTCTAGAATTCAAAGTCGATGTTGATGAAAAAAATATTGAAAGGTGGAAAAAATAAAGGGGTTGTGTTTTCTCTCGTTTCTCCCGTTTCTCTCGTTTCTCTCGTTTCTCTCGTTTCCATTAACTTGAGTTTGCGGTCTGTAAAAAGAGGGGGCAAATAGTCCATTATATCCGTGATCCACGCAATGAAGTGTGTGAGAGAAAGAGGGACTTTAAAATCCCAATGTATTTTTACTCCGGACATCACGGCGCCGAACAACTCGTAAATAGACTCACGGGGCAAACGTCTCTCTAAATTGCCGGATAACTACACGGATGCTTTAACTTTACCCGAAACAACACCATTCGCCAAAAATCCCATGAAGAAATATTCAGGATGCCCCTAACATCGACTTGCCGGGGTAAAACCCCCACCAACTCAAAATTATTCAACTCAAAATTATTTTATTTAATTTAGTACATCAGTCCCTTAAATAAATAATAAATTCCTACCATTTAAACCATCAAAGAAACAACTAATTATGTAATTAACAATTACTTAACGAATTATCCTCCCCAAAATGCCAATTAAAAACATCACCTGAATAATCCGAATAATTAATTGAATCGCTAATTTTTCGCATAATTACATTATCCTCATAAATTAATTGAAATATTAATTATCATGGATTTTATTGAATGAATTTATTGGTAACTGGAATTTTTTATTTAAACTTCAATAGTTATTCGGTAATAGTAATTGTAATAGTAATTACCAGAGCAATGAGTGATATTGTGAGAAAATTAAAGCAGATGATATCATCAATCACATTTGTCGTCTCTTTAGAAGGAAATATTTGTTTCTTCCTTGGCATTACGTCATTACCGTCAAGACACACTCGAAAAACAATTAATTAATCCCGTAATGCTCTTGTAGTTAATACTATCAGACACGTTTGCGACTTTTCGAGGCCGTAATGAGGTCTCGACAATTGTCGAGTTCGTGTTTTTCATGAGGTCATTAGCTAACCATTTGGTAAAAGTCATCGTCATTATCTCCAATTTTTATTCAATTCAATTTTTTTCTATCGCTCGTCATTCTCAATCACTTGCTGCCGCCGACTCACAATTATTTGGGGAATTAGTCTATTAATCTATTAATTGATCGAGTAAACAATTCAATTAGTAATTTCGACTTTAATGTCGTGGATAGAGGGAATTTGTTGAAAATTATGTAGAAGTTTTTATGTAGAAGTTTTTTTTTTAAAAAGGGAATTTGTCGTTTTTTTCTTGTGCAAAATTTTAGTGCAGATTTTGGAAAAGGTGATGCAGCCCTCGTGGGCGGTAGTTCCTCCTTCTTCTCTTTCACTTTGACTGAAAACGTTTTGAATGGAAACTATTTTCAGCATTGGTATAACTATATCTGGCAAAATGCGCGCACATGCTCGGGTATTCTGTTTTTACGCTGAGAGATGATTTAATGAGTCATTGTGAGGATTTTTTTTATGTCTCAATAACAGTTGCACTGACTCCTCAATTCTCGTGATTTTGATTTATTGATCATGAATCAATTTCACGTTTTTGCGTTAAAAAAAAATGGGAAATCAATCAAAAATGACAATAATAAATTAAAACCAATTGTTTCATTTATTTATGAATTTATTTATGAAAACCGTGAGATGGAAAAAGTATAAAAGAAAAATAAGAATGGAAAAGTCGAATAATTTTACAATAAAATCCGTACAGATGGGAAAATTATGGGGTAAATAATAAAAATTATGAAATAAAATGGGTTTTTTGTATTTTGCAGTCACTTGACACGAACGACGACATGGGAGGACCCCAGGAAAACAGCGGCAGCGGCGAATGTGACGACCATAGCAGCCGCTGAAAATGGCAAATCACCGGCTGGAGCTGGTGCAAATGCCCTTGGTCCACTGCCAGACGGTTGGGAACAGGCACGAACACCCGAGGGTGAGATTTACTTCATCAATCATCAGACGCGAACGACGTCCTGGTTTGATCCCAGAATTCGTGAGTATTTCACCGGATGTTTATATTCAGTTAAACACCCACTTCCTCCCACCCATCCAGACTGAATAACCGATCAATTCGATTCACGCCTTTTTCATAATTTCCACAATTATATTTTTTACTTAATAATTTTAAATAATCCTATTTGCATAAACGACAGGAAAACTTCTTCACTTCTGCATAAATTTACCGCTTCTCTCAATTATCGATTTATCTCGGAAAGTATCGATTCCAGCAGAACATCTTACGGGACCTTTTTTGTAGATCATTAAAATTCTGAGAAAAAAGGCCTCTTGATATTTCCTTCTGAAATCAATAGTCTTCAGGTGAATCGATGTTTACTTCCTGTTGTTGAGATGTTCATGAAATATAAATTGAATTTTTACGTTTCTCCAAACACCGATTCATCCGAAAACTATTGATTTTAGGTGGAAGTATCAAAAGACCTTTTTTGAAGATCATTAAATTCCCGAGAAAAAAGAACTTCTGATATTTCCTCCTAAAATCAATATTCCACACGTAAAAATTCTATTTATATTTCATCGCGATATCTGAATGCATTAAACGCGATTTGAATGCAAATTGTTATAAAAAACAAGTGGAAAAAGCCCTCAAAAATTTCGATTCACCACGAGTGGCAAAAAAAAGGATCTCCCAATGCCAGTCGATGTTCGCAGCTTGTTTTTCCACCCAGAGATTTATCTATCCACCGCAGAGTCAATAAATACCTGAGCTCAGGAATAATTCCGTTCCCCGCGAATTAAATTCAAGGTCGTTAAAGAATCATTGGAATAGCATCTCCCCGCATTCATGGGTAATGACCGATAAGGACGTATGATAATGACACTCTTTTTTTTTTTCATTTTTTATTCAGCAACGCATCTCCAGAGAGCCCCGACATCCGGTGCTATGTTACCCACCAACTGGATTCAACCACCGGGTGCCACTGGTCTACAGAGTAATCAAACTATTCAGGTGTGTCAACAAAAATTGCGACTCCAATCATTGCAAATGGAACGAGAGCGACTCAAGCAGAGGCAAGCCGAGATTATGAGACAGGTTTGCCATTTTCACCTATTGCAGCCAAAATCAAATTCTGTACGAGAAAATTAAAATTTAACTGCTAAATTTTTTTAATGTCATCATAAACCGTTCAACGTATAACTTTATTAATTTACGTTTATTTATCGTTATTAAAAATATATGATATATGGTATATAATATATTGACAAGTTCTGAACCAAATCATTAGAAAAAAAGAAACGAAAAATGCGATTACCAATGGTTTTAGAAAGGAACCTCAAATTTTGTAATCAGTATTATAAATTCCGTGTGATTTCAATAAACAGCAGGAGCTAATGCTGAGACAAAGCAACACAGACGCATCGATGGATCCATTTTTATCCGGCATGAGTGAACAACACGCACGTCAGGAGAGTGCTGACTCTGGTCTGGGTCTGGGTTCAGCATATTCACTCCCACACACGCCAGAGGATTTTCTGTCTAATATCGACGACAATATGGATGCCACAAGTGGTAATAATCCCCTAGAAATAAGAATAAAGGGCAATTAAATGGCAAGATCCAGTGGATTCTGTCCTGCGTGTCCTGTTCATGTGGAAATTAATGATTTTTGTATTTGCAGATGGTGGGGCCCCAATGGAAACTCCAGACATATCGACTCTCAGCGATAACATCGATTCAACAGATGATCTCGTACCCTCGCTACAGGTATTAATACCATTCACAGGTTATTGATTCGTATGATTTATCCTCTTGGCACTGATCAATCGATCATTCTCGAGGCAAATGATAATAGCAGCTCTCCCTCGTGAGCTCAAATTATTAATTTTAATCCAGTAATTATCGTATGTCTCAGCTTGGTGAGGAATTCACCAGTGATATCCTGGACGATGTGCAGTCACTGATAAATCCGAGCAGCACGAAACCGGAGAATGTCCTGACGTGGCTGTAGTACGAGACAAACTCTACAACGATTCGATCCACATCCCCTCGAGTTTGACATTAGCATTTTCGTAATTTTTTTTTTTTTTGCTATGAAAAAAAACCGTTAATCTCTGTTTAGAAAGAACGAACAGCAGTGAGAAAAAGCAACGAGTGCCTTAAAATAATAACGAATGAGAAGAATTTTTAAATCGTGATGCTGGAAGCCCTGACAATAATTTAGCTCGAGCTAGTGGTTAATTTAATCAATAAATCATTGTCGAAGGATGTACGTATAGTATTTGATGTGCAGCTCAAGTCTGGTATCATGACGTATCAGATTAATCGTGAACTCTGACGAGTCACGTTGAATCGAATGTGCAATTAATAATCCATGTTACAAGACGTTAGAATCATGATCCAGGTGAGTTGAGTATGAGTTTAATTAACGAGAATAATGGAGCTAGTGATGATGCCTTGATAAGTGCCTTTGGAGGTACTCGATGATGAATAATTTTTAAATAAACAGTAACCGTCCATAAGAGTCGTTTAATGATAACGAATTTAACGTCGTGTTTTACAGGTGCGACGTTGAGTTAAGAATAATCGATCGAGGTTGAGGAAATAAAAATATGTTAACGGTGTGAAAATTTTCTTGTACATTGATCAATTTATTAAACAATCACCTGCAAAATATTGAAATTTTATAAATCCACCACCTAATGGTCAGTGTATTGAAAAAAAAATTACACTGATTGCATTTTTTTTATTCCCTCCACTTCGAGGGATTATTCTTAAATAAAAAACTCGAGCATTTCTTCTCTCATTTTTCTTTTCTCTTCCTTCGTCGAGCATCGAGGCAAAGTGTAAACGTATTCATACAAATATTATATATTTTTTTTATATAAAGTCTATACTTGTTACGAGTTAGTTATTGATACAGTAGATTGTAATGTTTCGATACGTTTTATACAGTAATTATTCGTCTCGTGGTTGGAGAACGTTTGAAAAATTTGTAATTTATGGGAGATGAGATTTGTCGATTTAAATCGATGTAGTTGATATTATAATTCTGGGATTAGTCGATTTAAATCGACTACATCACAGAATTGACAACGAGTTTTCTAAGTTAAGTTGGCAGCTCATTAAATAACAACACGAAGGAACAATTGATTAATCTGATCTCGATAATGATATTATTATTGTTCGGATTATTGGTGGTTTCTTCTTGTTGAGTAAGAGATTAATGATAAATATTGTACATTTAAATGGGCTCTCCCTCTTTTCGAGTGAATGAAATGTGAAAAGAATTCGGGAGACGCACCCTAACACGGGTGATACGAGGATTTTTTCAATCACCATCTGATTAAATCATCGATATCGATAACGTGCCTTATTATTGCTGTAGACATGTAACTGTATGTTATATTTATGTTGTTACTCACGAGATTGAATATGTGGAGGATTTAATCGAAAATTTATGTTGATTGGAGTGAAATTACGGGGAATGGTGGGATTATCAGTCTGTAATTTTTTTTTTCTCTTTTTTTTTTGTCGAGATAAGTTCGTTAGAGTTTGTGTATTGCTTTAATTATACGATTGTTTAAGATTATCGCTTTTTAATTCGTTCGAGATGAGACTTTTTTCCGCACAAGGGGAGGATATGTATTTTCTCGTTGACACTGAATCGTGGTTTTCTTCGTTGATTAAGTAATACGTGTCTTGGATCGTTTGTAATGCGTCGGGGAGACGTCACATCTTCACGAGCTTGTGGATTTATTCCGTATTTTGATACAGCACGCACGGTACGTCCAAGAGATTAATCGTTAATGTGTAATAACATTTTTCTTCTTTTCGTGATGAATCTGTTAGTTTTCTATACCAGTATTTCGATATGCTCATTGGCCGGATTTCATTGTCACGTACATTTTTATATTGGTAACAAAGTGCCTTAGTTGTTAATTGTAACAATAAATATACATATTGTTTACTTAATCATGTGTGGTCTACTATTTTTATTCAACAACCACTAACTCTGATCATGTAATTTTCTATTTAATTTTATTTAAGTTGTTTTAAATATTCATGCATTTCAATTGTTACAAAAATATAATTTAAAATATGGAGTGCATTTCGAAGCTAGGTTTCTTGATATCTCTATCTCTTGATAAATGGTGACCATTTCTTAAGCTCCAGAAATTCTTTCAACACTCTTATTATCCATGTATAAAATTCTTCCTTAGCGTCTCTGCCAATGAGAAAATGCATGGTTTCGAAATTTGTGTTATTAATTATAACATGAGCCTGGTGGACATCGATTGGAAATTTGCTGATAAGTTCCTCCGTATTTTCTATAGTCGCAATATTATCCGTTCTCGTACTGAAAATTAATGTTGGTACTTTCAAGCTGCTGATGTTGTACTGTGGGGAATTCTCCCTGGAATAATGATACTGATTTCTCTCAGCTCCATAATCATAGAAGCCGAATGTCCCTTTAATATTAATCATAGCATTAAAAAATAGTTAATTATCATAAACTGATATTCGACTGATTAAAGTACCAATATATTCATACTATCGATATATCGATTTGTTTCAGGTGAAAGCAAAAAAAATTCAGGTGTGAGGGATTGAGAGAACATAATTAATTACCAGATATGGCTTGTTGTACATAATGAATGATCACATTCCAGGAAACGCATAATGGGGAGTGCACCAGTGCTTCATATGGAATTATCAACTGCAATGAAAAAATAGTGAATTTTCGGGGAGAGATGGATGCGTTTGCGGTTCGAGTGGTAAAAATCATGGGGAATCCTTACGTCTTCCACTTTAGTATCATTCACAGAATACTCATCATCCCCACAGAAGCTGGATGATGACCTGGTGTGGTAACAGACCAATCGGAGAAAATATTTGTGGCATGAACCGTTAGTATATTTTTCTCTGTTTTCCTGATGGTACACCTTGTATCTGTTCGACGCTACAATTCGTTTTTTATTGTTCTTGGCTTTCCAGTAAGCCACTGGTGCTAAATGAATGATACCCTCGAGTTTTTCATTGTATTCTGGCTTTTCAGACAGCAGTGCAAATATCTGACTGCTCATGATGTGCACGATGTACATCAATTTTCGTTCATGTGTTTTCTTCAAAATGTAATCGATAAACGCTGGTAAATCCAAGACTCCATACTCATCCAAACTGCAGACGAAGAATCATTTCGATGGTATAAAATGAGTAAGATTTTTTTTTTTAATTAGTAGATTTTTAGGAGGGTCTACCTGAAGGACCAAAATTGCTGTTCGGTGTAATTATTTGGGGCGCCACGACTACCGGGTTTTCCTCGCACATTACCCATCCACACATCGAATCCAGCATCAGATAATGAAAAGGCTGAGATAAATTGTGGAAATTAGTGAGGGGTGATTAGTGGGTTGTAGGTGATGCAGTAATTAATCAGTAGACTTCACCTAGACTTCTGCTAGGTCCTAGTGCAACGAAAATATCGGCCGCTGATGATGTTCCACACTGCAGATAGATAACATTATTTTTCAAATCTTGACTCCCATTTTTTGGCTTGATCCTGAATAACGAGAGGATGATGTTGTCATCGGTGACGACGAAATGCTTCTCTCCTTCATATCCAAAGTGTCCGACTAGATCCAACTGCAGGAAAAAATCCTCTTCACTATTATTTATATTTGTCACTCGATTTACTAAAAATATCAACTCAAAATCAATTATTTTACCAATTATACCTGCATTGATTCTTTGTAACTGCTGAGAAGTTGGAAAATATTTATCTGACCTTAATGTAATTTTTTAAAAATAATTACTTGGAGAATATTTTTGTAAATTACAAATTTAATTCGTTGGAAACAATTAGAGTTACAATTCAACACCAAAATATTAATTAGTTGTTTTAAACAATTTTATACGATTCCATATTCAGCACTCGCAATCACCCATGGATTTTCCACTATTCCCCAATTTTATTTTTTGAATTACTATTTTGTTAATTTACCACATATTTTTCTTAGGGGATTTTATTTTTAATTCATCCCGAGGAAACTTACAAATCCTTCAACGTAGTAACGATCGTCTTCATGGGCCGAGGCCCTCCATGCCGCCTCTAATTGACTTCCCATTAATTCTGATTGGGTCGCCCTGATATTAGAATGTACAACGAGAAAAATAATCGCAATTATTGTGTGTCTCATCATGTTAACAAAACGTGATAAATAAAATATGAATAAACAGCGTTATGTTTTAAGTTATTGCTAACACTGTCCGTTCTCCATTGGTCGCGGTTTTTATAGTTGCTCTAGAATCAACACGTGCCTATTATCTTCACGAATATGTGAATATCAGACATGTGGCAATACCACATGCAAATATTTTTCCAAAATTTGGATATTGATAATTTGAAGGCAAAAATCGCCCAATTGGCATGAATTGTAATCCTTATCTCTCCTTATCTTCACACAATACCTGTTATCGCGAATTAATATTCCATAGACAATTTTATAGAAAAAGTACAGCTGTTGAAATCTTATAAACACTAGATCATCGTTCAATAATTATTGAAAAATACTCAAGCTCATTACATTCTCCGTGACTGAGTTATTAAATGTTTTTTGTTTCTAATTATTGTTGAGGGGAAACAACTTGACGAAATTCTTCTCTAAAAGTTATAGTTTATTGGCTGTCTTCATGGGATGACTTTCACATTAAAAATCAAGAATACCAGATTCTTGGGATGAATAAATAAGAAAATCATCTACGAAATTGAGACTGAGATAAAATTCCCAAGAGTTTTGAGTACACGAGCTCATCCGCGTTGTTCGCCAGGACGAAGTCCCCGTGGTTGAACTCCTCGTTATCAACTCTCTCGTAGACCATTAGAGTGCCACTAGGAAGTTTACTAATTAATGCCTCGACGTCATCGGCTGTGGACAGTGGATCGTTTGGGGCGTGAAATATTATCGTCGGGGTGACGATGTTCGTCACATTATACTCCGGAGGCTCTTCACTTCCATAAATTCTGAGGTTCAAATCTTTAGTCTCGTGTTTGTACCTCTGAAATTTTCCTACAGCAGAAACGACGTCATTGGAGTCAATCAACAAATAAACCCGATTTATGGATTATATTTGTATTATATATTAATTGTATTAATAATATTAATTATATTAATTACCAGTGTTCAAATGTTGCACGTAATGATAAGACACCTTCGCTGATATTCCAGCTGGATAGTAACAGAAAAATTCAGGCTGATTTTCCTGCAATTCAATAATTAATTATATCAACTGCTTGGGTAATTCAAGAAAAATTCTTGTAGTAAGAAAAACATTGAATATCTCCAAAATTAAGGGAGATAATCGGTTTGCCGATTTATTGTTCATTTTTTAAACCGATTTATTGCCGATTTATTACCGATTTATTACCGATTTATTGCCGATCTATTGTCGATTTATAAAAAATAAACTCACAACTTTAAACTGACGACTAGGGCCGAGAATGAGATCATATGGTATGTAGCAGAGGTCCTTGGTGAAGCTGTTGATCGTGCAGAAGTGTTTAATGATACCAGGAATGATGACAGCCTGTGGGTGGAATTCGTATGCACCTTTTGGAAAGATCATCTTCAGAGAGTTGGTCAACGTGGAGATGAAGGTTCTCGCTGGGTTGTGGGTTGTCCAGTAGGAGACTGGAGCCAGGAGAATCAGTGTGTCCAGTTTGGCGTTGTACTCTGGTTTTGCCGAGAGCAGCATCAGACCTGTCGTCGTACCCAGAGAGTGGCCAAGAAATTTTATACTCGACTTCTTCGTCGCAGTAAAAACGTAATCGAGGAACACCGGAAGATCGGTTAGCGCATACTCATCCATACTGTTTATGAAAATCATTCATTACTTCATGAATTCTCTCAAAATAAATAATAACTAATAAAAATAATAATCATCTGTCGATAATTGCCTCTAATTACGTTTTTATTAAGTAATTAATTAATCAACGGTTGAGTTATCATTTAGTTACCGGAAATCACCGGTTAATTACAACCGGAAGTATTCGATTTTAATGGAATAAATTCGCGAATCGATCTATCAATCAATCAGTAAATTCACGAATTGAGAGATAAATCGCGGGATTAATTACCGATTTGATTTCCTCACCTGAAGTTCCAGAATTCCTCATCATCTGGTGATAACGTCTGATGCCTGCGACTGTAGGAATTCCCGCGGAAATTACCGATCCACACGTCGTATCCAGCATCCGCGAATGCATAAGCTAATCAAAATTTCAATTAACTCCCAATTACTTCAATTATAAAAATAAAATGAGTGCGTCAGCCGAAAAAAATGCACTAAAGTAAAAAACAACGTAAAATTATTTTCCTAATTAAAATTACAATTAAACTCTGAAATATTAATTAAATTCAAGATTCTCATTATAAAAAAATATTATTCAATTCAATATTTAGTACTCATGATTCTATATGACAATATTTATTAATTTCATTGTTAATTAAAAACATTTGATTGTTAGAATAATGGAATTCGTTTTTTTAAGGCAGTTGTTGTTAATGAAAAAATTGAAATTGAGGTACCGATGCTTCTGCCTCGGCCGAATAATATAAAAATATCGGCTGTAGCTCCGAGTCCGTGGGCCATGTAAATTACCGGTGTTTTTTCAGTTATATTTCGAAATGGAGGACTTGGGAGGATTCTGAATAAAGTCAGAATATATCCATCATCTGTCGTGACATTGTGCCATTCTGCCTCGTATCCTTGGGCATTCGCCATTCCAATCTGTGCAATTTGAAAAAAAAAAAAATAATACAATTCTTTCAATTGAATCTCAATTTATTTATCAATTCTACTAAAATTCTATAGCAAGATAAATTAATCCATCTCTTTTATGAATTCCTCCCAAATATTTCTCTTTCCTCTTTTTTTATTCATTTGTTTGTTTATTTATTTGTTTATTTAATCCGTTTGCAATCCTTTCATTAAAAAAGATAATTGCAAATTCAGAGTAGGACAATAACAGGGAATATCTCGGGAATTAAGGTAGATGGCGAGATTTTTATAATGACCTTTTTTGCAGTTTTACTTTCGCTCTACAAAAATGGTTTTATTGAAAATTTCGCTGCTGTGGTTCGTTCAGGAGATATCATCGAAAAACTCAGGAACGAAAAGACTAGAGTCACCGCGTTTTGACGCGTAACGCTGAATGCAAAATATTATTGTTTTCGTAGAATATTCAGGTAAAATCAATGAAGAAAAAAATAGAAATATCAAGGTCTTCACTTTGGAAAAACATCAATACTGAATTTATTACAATTTATTACACAACTCACAAAATCGAGAGCGTAGAACTCCGTACCGATCGCCTCATCATAAGTTCTAAATTGTTTAATTCGTAAATCGCTGGACCAAACAATAAATTGAATGATGCACAGTAAAATAATTATTTTTACAGATGAATATCCCATTGTTCCCTCGGTGATTCAAGCAAAAGGACGAGGAAATCCTTCACCCGGAATCACAAAACACCCGTCAACATTTTGTTATTACCCGGAAAAATTTCTTTTGCATCAGTTACAAATAACGCAAGTGCGATTATGTACTTTCTACCTAGACCGACGGATACAAACTGAGAGGTATCATCTACTTTCTATATGAATATATCTGTGAAGATAAATTAGCTGATGGACAGAGTTAAATATTCCGAGGACCAGTCGTTCATTTTTTCTCTTCCCGAATTCTCAGGGAAACATTGACGGAATTTATGCTAAAGATTACATCGCTTGATTCTCTCATAAATATCGGATCATAGTATTTTTTGGTGGGAGTTGATTCGAGGACACTATCTCGATTATTTCGATAAACGAGTTATTGTGAAGGTCGATATATTTTGTCTATTAGGTTTCACGTGTCTGCGGGAGATATTTATTATAAATTCACAGCTTTTGTCCTGATTTTGTTGTAAACAACACAATTATATCAACATAAAAAATTATATTTTTTCAGTGAAAATTTGATGAAAAAATTGATTTTAGAAACAAATTTTCATTTTTTGTTTCAATTATTAAAAATTAGTTTCTATTCGATTTAGAATTTGGATGAAAATCACGGGAATTAGTTGGAGGTTTTATTTATTAATGCAATAATTTATAGATGATATTCTATTGTTTATTTTTCTTGGGAATTTTATTTTATGTGCGTAATTTGAATAATTTTGTTTGAGAAGCTGAGTTTTTATTTGTGTGGATTCAATAGTCGGGGTCGAGAGCAAAGTGCACGGATTTTTGTTTGATAAACATTGCGTCGGTGATTTGAATAAAATATTAGTGAACCCGCGGTAATTTATTCAAAATTAACGAACCGAGTGAATTGAATTTATAATACGCAGATCTTGGAAAAAAATTCATTTGAATTCTAGTAAATGGAGATAAAATAGATTCCTCAGCTCTCATGGTAAATGGATAAATCATTGGATCAATATCCTAATGGAAGACTCCGGAGACATCTACTGGATCAATCCCTATTTAATTAATTAAAAAAATCCCAAAATTGATTCAATTAAAAAAAAAAAGTTACTAAATGAAGATTCGATTTTGAAAACGCTGGGTTTTCAGTGAAAATCTCGAGATCCACCAGCGATACCGCGATTTTGATAATGACCTTTTCCCGGGAGCTGATTACGATCTACAAAAACGATCTTTACAAAAATTTCGTTATCTCCCTTACATTCCGAGATTTTCGCTGTCAAAGTGAATGTCGAAATTTCAAATTCTCCCAAAATTGGTCAATTACAACAATTACCCCAATAATTGTTATTAATCATCCAAATTATCATGACTTATGATGTGTTCTGAGGGATAATCATTGGTTTCACCAAATATTCGCGCATTCATTTATAATTATTTTTTTAATGGATATTTTTAAGCCGCGCCAGACGGCAGATTTCTGATTTGACAGGGGATGTAACACCCCCGCATGAGTAACGGTCAAGGGTGCACGAAAACCCCCGTCCATTTTCCCCCAATTTCAGTCCTCGCTCCCCCTCTTCACCCCCTATTTTTCTACCGAAGATTTTTACCGAATACCCTAAAAATACCCCTCATCCGATCTCATCCGTCTGCTCCACATGCCCCCACAACCGGCGGAAATTTATTTTTTCTCCGATCATGAACAAGCGTCTGTAAATAAAATCCCAGAATACCCACTCACCGAGACTTCAACATATAGATCCAGAATCGATCGATTTATTTATTCATTGCATCCATTTTAATCCGGTTTGCAGGGAGAAATCGGGTGGATTAAGTCCGCAATAAAACTCTCGGGATTTTTGTTCTTTCTGCCGTATGTAACAAAAGAAATGACCGACTGTCACCTACACTTGACCAGGTCTAATCTCCCCCCAATAAAATTCGGGATAAAAGGGTTGTAGCATTGCAGAGGGATTGAAAGACATTTTTCTTTCCTCCGGAGGCATTTTACCCCCGTGTTTCTCGGTTGATCGGTAGTTTTATATTGGCGGTGTAGAACTAGACAGATTGTGGAGGAAAGGGGCACCTCCAGGGTGTTAAAATGGGTGAAAAGAATTTTCTTATGCGGTAGAAAAAAGAATGGGAATAATACAGGGGAGATTAGCACGAGTACCTGATGTCCAATCCCCGGTGCCAAGTGTCGCCACAATTACCCCTTCGTCGGCATCCTCTCGTTTTATCGTTTTACATGCCCCAGAGTGCCACCGGGTTGTAATAAAATTTGGGAGTTTCCCGTACCCGAGACGGTGCGGATTTTTTTTCACCCATGAATTTTCATTATAAATGCACCGGGCCTTTTTGGGTGAGGAAAAACTCATTAATGGTTTGGAGAGAATTGAGAGAGTGAGAACCGACGGAGAGGATTATCTCGGGGTCGAGGACATTCAGGTGCTAGGAGTTTATTGCAGTTGTGCTGAAAGAAAAAAATATTTCTCTTTCCTTTTTTCTTTTATTTATTTATTTGTTAACTTGAGTGTTTTGGGTATGAAAATATGTTAAATTTTTTTTATCTCTCGGCAACAGGTACTCACCTGAAGGGATCATTTTTTCTCATTTGTTGAACGAGGGGGGCAGGGGCACGTCAGTAAGTATGTGATATAAAAAACTGGTAAAAAAATCCCCTTCGCTCTACAGGTTGGCTCCCCCTTTTTTTTTATATCGGAGTGGTGTATGGGGTGTAACGCGATCTATGTACCAATGGAGATATCTAAAAAACTCGTGGAGAAAAAACTCCCCTCGATGAAAACAGGTTGACTTTTATCCCTGCAAGGCGTGGTTAAAGGGTTTTACCCAGCCAATGGGGATCCACCGGTTTTTTCATCACCCCAACACGTTATTTGAAGATTTTAAAGGGTTGGGGGATGCCGAGAGACACTTTAAAACGTCAACAGGTTCTTTTACAGTGGAGATTACTCAATCAGAATGAAAATCATTCTCACCCCTCACCTGTCATCCATTCAACAATTTTAATTCGTTAATTATTCACGCACGAGCTTATTAGCGGAGGAAAATAATCTCCGCGTGCAAGCCGTTGTCATCGGAATATTATTAAATTTGTCTTGGTGATGAATGTCCAATATATAAATTCAACTGTGAATTTAATTGTCATCGATCAGTGTCAGGAATTCATCTGAATGCGTATTTAAATCTCGAACCGATGAATCAGGATATTTCTCCCTCGAAAAGGCCCACGGATTTCCGGGCGTTTAGAGTATAAAGAGATGCGGTAGATCGCTAAAGAATACTCGTACCTACATTTTCAGGGGAGGCATTTTTTTTTTACGAGAGGACTGCACCCAACAATTGACTCGCTTCTGCCATTCTCCAGAGGAAGCCCAACTATTTTCAAAACGTGTGTCATCGATTTTTTTTTCTCCAACTATCCTATTTTTTTTCCCTCTTTTTTATTCTCCCCCGATTTGTGTCGTTACTTGAAGCATTGTGCGTCTCGTTGTGGGTCCTATAGTGAATACCAGTGCATTAAAATATATTCTCTAATGGGCCCCGATTTTCATTGTACCTCAGGCCATTTAAGTCCCAATCTGCAGCCGTTCGTGGAATTCCAAAGTTCCGTCGTTTCGCCAAATGAACAAATAAATTCAAGTTAAATAACTTGGGGGGGGGGGGGGTGAAGTGGGCGGAATGTTGCTATTCCTGCTCAAGTACTTGTTCAAAAAGTCAACGCAAATGATGAATAATTATTTAAACAACCATTCTCATCCAAATTAGTAGGATTGACAGGGAAAAATGAAAATTGACGAAAACTATTTATTGCGGCAATTGTAATTGTTGAGATTCATTCATGTTTTTTTTATATATTTTTTTAGAAAGCGAACATTTGAGCAGGAAGTCTTGAGGGATTGCGGAGCCGATGGTATCGAATGTCGGGAGTGGGTCAAGGTGGACACAAAAACGGTAAAAAAAATCGAGGGATGGATGAAGCTGAAGGAAAAGAATGTGAAAAAAAGAAAAAAGAGAGGTTTCAAAAGTGGGGAGAATTAACGCGTGCCACGAGGGGTATTTTTCTCTCCCCCTTGAGAGATATCATGGGCTAGGGCTAGGGCTAGGGCCTAGGGTGCACACACGCAGGCGCTCTTCATTGCTCCGCCCTATTTGTCAATGACGTGTGCCCCCTCGTTCAAGCCGATACAAAAAAAAGAGAAAAAATGTATAAAGGAGAATAACGAGAATGTATACGTTCGTTTCGTTCTGTAAAATCGGATTTCACCGTGTTTTCCTCTTCAGTGATTTCACCAATCCGGTATTATCGCGTTGCGGTTCATTTTCTCATCAAGTGCTGCTATTATTTTTTCGAGGAGTTTTCACGAGTCGTGCGATTTTAATCAGGGACTAAGTGGTAGGTTACGATTTTTTTTTTTTTTGGAAATGGAAAAAGGAGTTCCATGCAGGCTTATTGCTTCTTCTTGCAATAAAATTTCCCAGAAATTTATACTGACTTATTGTCCTCAGGCAATACTTGACTTTTCGGTTGTACCTTCCGGTGAACCCCGAGGGGGGTTCGTAATTGGATGCACAATTGTAGGTCAATGAGGAAAAAACCGCAGAGAGGTCGTCAGCCTCAGGTAGACAAGCTACCTTATTTTTCCAAAGCCTTCACCCGCCAAATGCAACGCAACTTGATACTCACTCCATTCCGTAACTCTAATTATTTCCAACTTTCGCCTCTATTTTTTTCGCTATTTCTTGCTCCACTTGAGGGAGCGAAATTCCTCATAGGCTAATAAATAACAACCAAACGGTTTTTGTTAATTTTTTTGCGTTAAGCCCGGTCGGAAGGGATAACGGAGTATCGGAGAAAAGTGTGATGAGCCTTGAGGAAATACGAAGAAAGGCGGAAAGCCCTTGCGCCCTGACCGATCGACATTTACAAAAATGTCGAACCTTTGCCCGAGTCGCTCCGTATTCTCGAGGCCAGTGAATATTTTCCATTTAATTTATGATTTTTTATTGGCCCACCGAAGGGGCTCTCGCCTCTGGCAAAGTCTTGTAAATAATTGGACAAAGGAATTGAAGAAAGGATGAGCCGAGTGAGGGGATGATGCCGTCATCGAGGAGT